GATTGATCACTTCTGATCAGAGTGAACTGATCAGAGTGCATTCACATATGATCAATAATTTTGATCCATTTGATCAAATGAATATTCTCTGTTCTTCGATACAGTCTGATAGAGTTTTCTTTTTTTGCCCGAAATTTTCGATTACCCGTGAATTTTACGGCTACATTACGTCGTTTTCAGCCAACTGAGAAAGACTGGTGCTTCAACTGCCCACCTGGCCCACCAGGACCGGCCGGCCGACCAGGACCCAAAGGACCACGTGGACAACCAGGAGACCGTGGCGCACCAGGCCCGATGGGACCACNTTAACCTTCAACCAAAGAAATGCCTGAGAACTCAACGAAATCCACTCAAAATCCAGTTCTCTCATTCAGTATCACTCAAATTTTGCAGGTTCCCGGACCAGCTGGACCTCGTGGACCACCCGGTGAGATGGGACCACGTGGTGAGCCAGGACCCGATGGACGCCCTGGCCATCCAGGACGCAAGGGACCACGTGGCCCCGCAGGCCCGAACGGCAAAGATGGTGCGGCCGGTCACGATGGACCGAACGGTGAGAAGGGTGAGGACGGCCCGGCCGGACCGAAAGGCAGCTGTGACCATTGCCCACCGGCCAGAACCGCTCCAGGCTATTAGATCGAAAGTTAAGAGACCCCAACAAAACGCATCGCCAGACAATCACCAACCCGTCAATTTTCTACGCCTTTCAGGCATCGAGCACTGTCCTGTCCTTATTGTTTTGATCATATTCTTTACGAATTCAATTTTTTTAAATGAAACCCTTTTTTCCCGTCGAAATATCTGGTGACTGGCGTGAATAAAAGTTTTATATGCATCGAATCCATCTTTCAAAGCAGTCAAATTTATATTTCGCAAGCGGATTTATAATAATAATAACAACAGTAACAACAAGCCTTTTAACATAATCAAATTAGAATTTAAAATTTAAAAAAAAAGCTCCTTTCACGGTTTCTTTCCTTCCTTCATATTTTTTGGGGAACTTGTTTCATAATTTGAAAAATAATGCATGATAGAACACAGTGGAAAATATTTGAGGGGAAAAATGTTAATTACATTAACAAGTAATCAATTTAAAATGATCAGAACTCTAAAAAAGAGAAGAAAACATGAAATCACTGACAACACAAGTTGTGATCTTAACAAATCAATCGATCTGATTTGAACTTGATAGTCCTTTTGATCAACTACTGATCAAGTAGTTTCCACGCTCCCACTTCCAGTTGAGCTCCTGGTTTTTGAATCTGTTTTGCTCAGTGTTCTCAGTGGCATTTTCTGCTGCAAGCAAACACGCTTATTAGGCTTTTTCGGCACAATTACTTTTAACTTTAAAGAGATCTCATTAAGTAGAAACGTTAAAACGTGAAGAAATTCGAGCGATAGATGCAGCGGAACTTACAATTTCGGGTGGTGGTCCGATCAGTAGGAATTTGATATGTTTTCGATACATAATACAGTAGAGAATCAACAGAATGCCGAAAACGACGGCTAGAACGACTGATAAGATAAATACCAAATTCCACGTTTGCTCACATTCCAGCTGCTCTTGACCCCGTCGTAGATCCTCTCCTTTTTCAAACGAATCCATCGCCCTGATCGCCCACAGCAATCCAAAGCTACTTACTCAATCGCTCGAAAAAATAATGAAATGTGACGAAAATAGCTCATTTCCTAATTTCTTTCAATTACAACGTTTCATTTGCATAGTTGTCTTATGTAAAATATGCAGAATCTGGAAATCTAATATGAAAATAGCCAAAAAATTTGGAAAAGCATCGAAATAAAGCGGATGCCTCATGCTGGAATCGAACCAGCGACCTCCTGCTTACAAGACAGACGTTCTACCTCTAAGCCAATGAGACGACTCCGCGCCGTCCCACATGAACTCAAGAAGGAGCGCCTTGGTGAATGCTTATGCCCTGGACTGGAATCAAATCAGCGCCATTCTGTTTACAATTTATAGCCGAATTGTCTTTTGGCATGCTCCTAGGTTTATATTGTGACAAAATAAAATCATTTGTGACATATTTATTAATTTAAACTTTTTGATAATGTCATATCAAAGTACTTTTCGGACAATGTCATCATGAGGGGATTTCAAGAGAGTGGGGGAAAACAAGGGGACTGGCAAAGGGGGGTTTAACGGCAAGGACAAACAGGGCAGAAACCAGGAGGCTCTTAATAGCCTGGAGCGGTTCTGGGTGGTGGACAGTGGTCACAGCTGCCTTTCGGCCCGTCTGGTCCGGCGTCTCCTTGGTCACCGTTGGCACCATCCTCGCCATTCTCAGCCTCTTTGCCGTTCTCGCCCGACGGGCCACGAGGTCCCTTATGTCCTGGACGTCCGTCACGACCGTCGTTTCCTTTGTCACCGGCAGCTCCCTCTTCGCCTTGTGGTCCT